AAACAAACATTTATCACTGTCCTATAATTCCAGCCTCGTCTCGGTCAAATAATTATATTTTTTAAATGTACCTCACATAATAATAACATTTTCTACATTTGATTTTAGCATCATGTACAATGAATGAACAAATCAATACCGGCTCCATTGTGGTTTACGGACAGATTAGAAAAACGCTTTATCAGTGTGTCTCATTGATGTCAAATTGGAGCTCCAGGACGGTGGTAGAGATCAGATTTTCCTTTCATATTGCAGTAATTTATAAACCATGTTTCTCAAATCATGTCGCTTTATTTTCACAACAACAACAAACATGCTACTTTTAGCTTTATGTGTTTTTCAGATGGTCTTAAAGGGTTTTAATGTTTTATAAATAACTCAAGAAAGAGGAGAACTTCTTCAGCCTGTATGGAACATTTATTTCCTCAGTTTATCTCAAGGAATGGAAATCATTGGAGATAAATAACAGCATATGTAGTTTGTAGGACATTTTTAGGCTACACACTGTGAATGTTCATGATAAAGAGCCAACAAGCTCCTGCCTCACTGGAATATCGTCATTGATAGAACACATGGACACATTATTCTTTGTGTTTGTAATACAGGCTTGTGTGCAAAATTCATGAAACAACTCCCAACCAGAACCTCAACATCACTCTGCAAGTGCACGAGGGAGAAGTGGAGGGCCGCTACTCGATCGAAGGCATGGCTCAGATGTCTGGCTTCTCTTTTGTGGTGAGAATGACGTGTTTTTAAAATTAATGCATGAACAGAATAGAATAGAACTTTATTGATCCCTTTGGTGGAAACGTCAGGGAAATTGCTGACACATTCTTATGGGAATTACATCCATGATGTAATATCAAGTGTAATGATGAAGACTTCCTTTGAAACAGGAACCCACCATCACAGAAATCAAGCCCCACTACGGACCCATGTTTGGAGGAACAACAGTCACGCTAATAGGAAGATATCTTAATTCTGGGAAACAAAGAGACGTGTACTTTGCAGGCAAGAAGTGCAACATTCAGAGGTGAGCAGTGGAAACATGTTGCTGCTGACACATGGTTATGGTCGTTTCATTTCAACATATCACAAAAGTATTTGGTGACCGTGATTCCTGTCGCTTCCAGTGTTTCTGAGGAAAGCGGGACGTCGTCTTCAATCATCTGCCTCACAGCCGCTGCAGCAGCCGTTGGACCTGCACCTGTGAAAGTCATTATTGATCAATTTCAAGTGGCCTCCACTAAGATGTTCCACTACAGAGAAAACCCTGTTGTAACCTCTGTACGTCCTTATTGCAGTTTCCAAAGGTCAGTGACGTAACTCTGGAAAATTCCTCCGAGTTCATCATCAAAATGAGACGACATCTACACAGAGAACAAGTCAACTGTATAAATGGCATTAATGGTATATTGATTATATTAACATGTTCATTCTTACTGCTGTACAGAGGCTCCAAGCTGCTGATAGAAGGTCAGAATCTGGACTCTGCCTACAAAACTGTGGTTCAGTACACTCCCAAAAATCCTGTTGTGGAAACTTTACAACGAGTAAGTCAGTGCTATAAACCTTTACATTATCCAGGTAACTTAGTTCAGTTCAAATGAGGTCAATAAACTTGTGAGCAGAGACAAAAAAAGAGACAAATACTTGCTGTATGTGATTTGTCTTGTTTCACTCGAGGTCTGCGACGGCACAGCGAACGCCACGCATATGGAGTGCTGGGCTCCTGCTTTTCCAGAGGAAATGCCCGAAGACAGGTCAGAACCGGGAGTGATTTCTATTCACGTCGATGGAAAAAATAACCTCTTCAAGCGACGTTTCGACTACTACCCTGATGCCAAAGTCATTCCCTTTGAAACCGATGACAATGTCTTACTGCTAAAACCGGGAGAAGATGAGGTTTCACTGCATGTATGTTTACGGTCTGAACATTTGCTTTACAGTATTAAAATGTCCATAACAGCAACAACACAAGAAACAATAACCACTATATACGTTACAGCACAGCAAACTAAATACAGTGAGCACCTGTATGAGGATCTCAATGACCATCGGGGGCGTGCCCTGCAACGCTCAGGTTCTGTTAAACGAGCTGACCTGCAGGATTCCTAAAGGCCTGGTTGTTCCCAGCGAAGGGCTTCCTGTCAGAGTAAGAAAGTCTGCTTTTACATCTTAACCTAAATCGTGTGTTACTTGCTGAGATGTGAGTAATGGTGTGCTTCACTGCTGTAGGTGTCTGTGAACAGGGAGGTTTACGATGTGGGTACGGTAGCCTACGACGACAGCAACAACACCGTGATCGCGGGCATTGTCCTGGGCATCATTGCTGCTCTGGTAGTAGGTGCCGGCCTTGCATTGCTTGTGATGATTCATTTGAGGAAGAAGAAGAGAGGTGAGACACATTCTGCTGAACTAGTTTGTCCCTGATGCATTCTGTACTCTTTACAGTGTATGCTTTATAGGTTATTGCTCAGTGATTTTTATTTGTCAAACACGTCCTTTCAGCCAACATAGAGAGTCGTCTTTCAACAATGTTGTCACGCAGCCGCATGGGCAGCACCCTTAACGCCTCCCCGACGGGCGACTACAGACGAGGTGAGGCATCCAAATCCATGAGTTCATCCGTAAATCCGTAAAATAGTTCAATCAGTTGTTGCAGTTTTGAATAATCTGTTAAACTGACCTAAACATAAGACAGCACCAAAGTCAGGTTTAATGTGTTGGCATACGGCAGTTCCAGTTGAGTCAAATCCTTTCTGTACAGTTCATTTCAGCTGATTTGTTTCTCCCCTGTGTGTTTTTCCTTCAGTAGATCTATCCAGTCAAACCTCGGGCTCAGCAGGAATGGCTTTCCAAGGTTTACTGTACGCTGCCAGCTATGATCATCTCGCTGTTCCTTTAATGTCGCGGGACAGCATCTCGATGGTCAGCTTGAGTTCTGACCTTCTCGAAGAGGTCAAAGACGTGCTGATCCCCGCCGAGATGCTCCGAATCGAGGACAGCCAGATCATTGGCAAAGGTAGCCCTCCTGGCTTCCCTTGTTTGCTTTTCTTCCACATTTATAGAATTTTATTGACACATAAGCACAGGCGTTCCTTTCAGTTGCTTTATTTTTTTTCCTCATACAGGTCACTTTGGGACAGTTTATCACGGATACCTGATAGACAGCAATAAGCAAGAGACCCACTGTGCTGTTAAGTCATTAAACAGTAAGTGAATAACTATTTATTCTATCAAAGAAATCATTACTCTGTATGCTCTTGGCTGGTAAACTCATGGGAGTATGTGTTTAATTAACAGGGATCACAGATTTGGGTGAAGTGGACCAGTTCCTCAGAGAGGGCATCATCATGAAGGCCTTCCACCACCCCAACATCCTGTCTCTGCTGGGCATCATGCTGCCCAAAGAAGGGCTCCCTCTGGTGGTTCTGCCGTACATGAAGCATGGAGACGTGCGGCATTTCATCCGCTCTGAGAAAAGGGTAAAACAACAAAATTTACAGCCAGATGGGTTGTTGTTTTCTCTGCTAACCTGGCTAGCGGTTTTACCAGTCAGCTTTGTTTACTGGGTCTTTGTCCTTCACAGAACCCGACGGTGAAAGACCTGATCGGCTTTGGGCTTCAGGTTGCCATGGGCATGGAGTACTTAGCTCAGAAGAAGTTTGTTCACAGAGACCTGGCTGCACGTAACTGCATGTGAGTGTGAATCATGCACTGATTACTGGCCCGTGACGAAGCAGTGGAAGACTTTGTCTCGCTCGCAAGAGGTTATTTCACTGTTGGTCATAAAGCTGATGTGGATAAGATACATAAGGACATGTAAAAATCCAGTTTATAGTAAACTAGGTAAGCTGAATAAATAATTGCAGGAGCAGTTTTTCTGGACTTGTAGTTTTGCTTTATCATAATTGTACGTGTTTTTAAAAAGAAAAACTAAATAACTTGATTTGTAATAAAGATGCCCTTACTCAGGTCATCTAAGAAGTGACAGATTTTTAACAATGACAACTTAAACGTTCATTCATTTTGAAATCTCTTTTAGCAAAATAGATTCTTCATGTATATAAGGATGCTTTTTGATTTCAAATTAAAGAATACATTTGATTTTCAAATTCTTTTCATAACCATATCCGTGTCCCACCAGTGCAAATATCTCCTGCTATTATGGCAGATTATCAACGCTGATTTTCTAATTTGGTGAAACTTTAGACCTAACTTTCTCCTCTTAAGCGGGAGACGACCCCTTCTTAAGCCGTTTCCTCTTTACAGGCTGGACGAAACTTTCACAGTAAAGGTGGCTGACTTTGGCATGGCCAGGGACATATATGACAAGGAGTACTACAGCATCCAAGATCACAAGAGGGTCAAGCTTCCAGTTAAGTGGATGGCTATCGAGAGCCTGCAAACGCAAAAGTTCACGACCAAGTCTGATGTGGTGAGTGTGCTTCATCTAGTCAAACCATCAGAGTCATGTTTGCATTGATTGTATTTGTGTCTATAATACATTCTGTTTCCCAGTGGTCATATGGCATCTTACTGTGGGAGCTGTTAACCAGAGGTGCTAGCCCTTATCCAGACGTGGACCCCTATGACATCACACACTACCTGTTGAAGGGTCGTCGCCTTCCGCAGCCACAGTTTTGCCCAGATACTCTGTAAGGATCATATCGGCTTCTAAAAGCGCAGCTACCATCTTCATCTAGTTTAAGGATACGTGGTTACACCTACTGCATGCATAGACGTTGTCACTGTATCTCAGCTCACAATGGCATCATTCAGCAGTTTAATCACCTGCATGAATATTTACTTATGTGCCTACTCATTCACTCATTCAGTTGCCTAATTATTCATTCCACAGCTATTCAATCATGCTGGCATGTTGGGACCCGGAGCCTGAGCGCCGACCGAGCTTTCACAGCCTGGTAACAGAAGTACAACACATCCTGTCCTGCCTGGAAGGAGAGCACTACATCAGCTTGAAGGTTACCTATGTCAACCTAGACCAGCCAAAGCCTTATTCTGCCCTGACTGGATCTGCAGATGAGGCCGAGGCCTCGGACTTGGACGCGGACGGTCACGCCGCCAGCTGAAAGCGCTGCGACACGAGACTCTGTGGCAAAGATCACAGCATCCAGGTTAGAGTTGGAAAGCACACGAGAAGGGAGACGGCTTTTCTCACCAGATAAATTGTTGATTATGTCCACGAACCTGAGCACATGGAACATTTGACTACTGATTTCAATGACACTGTAAACTCAAACTGGAGACAGAATCACGTCAGAAGCTTCCCATCCTGGTTACAAAGCTACAAAGCTGGAGGCAGCATGTAGAGATGTTTTTCTAACCTTCCGAAGCACGTGTGAACGAGACAAAGTGAATGTAAAATGTGCTTTTGTTGTCATATTTGTAGCATAGGATGAGGTACAATATGCTGTAATACATATAGAGTATGTCTCTGCGTCAGCAAACTGTTAGACAGGGTCTATGAATGCTGACTCGTGCTCAGGGGTCAACAATTTAGCTTTTTAGTTTCAATTTTCTTGCCAAATGAGGATATAATATCCTGTTATACATGCTGGTGAATGTACATTTAGTACAAGGGGGCATGTGTACATCACACATGGATGCAGAATAACTCACAGATTTAGAGCCATTTATGCTCTTGTTACCAACAGCTCCGCACATGCTGAATTACACGGTGAACTTTCTTCCATTCAGTACCTGTAGCTCTCACTAGAGGGCAGCCAACGCCTCCTTTTAGGCAGCGCTGGAGTTGCTGCGGCAGTGATGCTCTGCACTACAGCAGACATCTCCACCAAGGTGTCGCACAAACAGTACAACTATATTTATCTGAAACTCAGACATCCAGACTTCCACTCTCGAATTCAGTCTCTCGACTCAATCAGCACAGAGCAGCATATGGCACATTTTTGGGGAGATTCTTTGCTTCTTGCATGTAATTGAACAAATCTTCACACCGCATTAGACAACACAAGGCAGTTTATAATGTAAAGACTCTTTTTTTTAAACTTTTATACTGACACTGCGAACCAAAGAACTGGTTTATGTTGACAGACACTTTCTACCAGAGGCAATGGATTTGTTTCTCACATACTTGATTTTTTTACTGCATTATTTCTTTTCTTTGAATCCAAGAGTGATCCGATCTTATTATTTCCTTGCACTAATTTGTACTGTAAAGAGAGTTTTTATACAAGCAAACGGTTGATTGCATCCATTTCTCTAGAAAGAAACGTCTCGGACTTGTCCTGAATAAATTTTAAGAAAATATACTCGCTGCAGAACAGCAAACAAGAGGAAAAAAAAAAAACAACTCACTTAAAACTGAATACATAACTGCTGAAAAATGCAGCAATGCACCGCAACAAAAGAGGGAACAAAAGTTCTTCATGAAAGTGCATCATCAAAGCCAGAGATGAAAATGCTGCTGAATGCAGTGACACGGGTCTGAGGCAGCACAGCTCTTGTTCTTTGCCAGGTAGATGAGAGGAAAACACACACACACACACACACACACACACACACACACACACACCGTTAGAGGCCTGAGTGATGTCAGCTCAACCAGAGTGAAAACTGCACGCTTCTGCCTAATCTGTGTATCTAGCATTTGTAATACTCTATGAATAATTTATGGATCTAAAAAAAGATTTATTTTTTTATTTTTTCTTCCATCCCTTGCCTTTAGGTACTAAAAAGGTGGCGGTAATAATGACAAGCTCTGGCTGGGTTGAGGTAGAGGTTCAGGTTTTGAAGCGAGGAGATGTTTGGAGACGAGTGACAAAACAAGAAATCGTGGATATTTTTCTGTTACACTGAAACATACACAAGATATCTTTGGTTTAGATGTTACTGGTCATTAACAGCGTCCACGCTTTCAACATCATTTGAGCTCCGAAGAAATAAAACCAGATCTGGCTACTGTTCATATGAATTCTGATAATTTATACAAAGATATTGACAGACAGCACATTGATGAAGAGGAAGTGACAGATTCGTCCTCTAACTCGTGTCAACTCGCAGGGTGATCTTATAATTAACTTGCCAGTGCAGCTCGTGGGACTGGAAGAAGCTGCTGGCATTTAAAATACCGTTTGGCATTTAACAAGGATACTGGCATTGAAATCAAACCTTGAAATGATATAAGAAGGATTGGCATCGTCTTTGAGAATTAAGAAAGTTTGACTGAAAAGTAGATATTGGAAAAGCATCAAAATGTCTTTTTTTTTTTTTAGTTTCTTTTATAGCTGTAAATCAGTTTTTATGATTTTTATTCTTCGGAGTGTTTTTGATGCCAGTGTTTAGGGTTTAATTTCAATAGTTGATGACTGATACTGTAAACAGACAAACTATAAATGTGATGTAATGAGGGAGACGGAAAGCTGTGTGTGTGGAAGACGTAGCATTTGTGGATTGCTGAAACCTCCTTTGCTGCTCATTGAAACTGGAAGAACTGATGACAAACATATGCACTTAACTAATGTGATAAAATCATTAAGACAGTTCCAGTCCCATTGGATTCTACATGTTAAAGAGGTGGCCCAGCTCCTTATTGAACTTCCATTTAACTGTGAAGCTTGGAAGAGACAGCTTTGAGAAACAATGATTCTTTTGCGGGCTGCAAGGTGGCTCGGTGGTTAGCACGTTGCCAGCTAGAAGGTCGCTGGTTCGCATCCCAGTGAGAACACCCGGGATCTTTCTGTGTAGAGTCTCCATGTTCTCCCTGTGCAGCGTGGGTTCTCTCTGGGTTCTCTCTGGGTTCTCCAACTTCCTCCAATACAGTCCAAAACATGTTGAGGTTAATTGGTGATTCTAAATTGTCCGTAGGTGTGAATGTGAGTGTGCTTGGTTGTCTGTCTCTAAGTGTAGCCCTGTGACAGACTGGTTACCTGTCCAGGTGAACCTGCCTTCACCCTGAGTCAGCTGGGATAGACTCCAGCCCCCCTGCGACCCTAGTGAGGATTAAGCGTTGTATAGATAATGGATGGATGGATGGATGGTCCTTTTGGCCCCTAATATGGGCAAAACTCCAAAAACACAGACTACTACACTTCCCATAATGCAACTTGAAAGCATCTTTCATCAGGCCCCATGCCTATGTATGCCTAACCATGTGCCTCAGTTTGTAAAAACAAAACATGTCGTCTGTAATTTCACAGTGTGACGTGAACTGATTACGACTTATGTAAGTTGATTTCATTGCACAGTTGGTTGCAGATAAAGTTGTGTAAGGGTTTAAAACAACCTCATTGAGAGTATATTTGCACTTTATCCTTCACATCTGGGGTTCATTACCTTCAGCAGCGTACTTTTAGCTGACATGAGGCATCTATGTTCTCTTATCCATGCACTTTATGCCAAACCAGACACATTCCAGAGTGGATTATTACAGTCATTCCAATGTGACGTGAATGTCGATAAATCAGAGGACACGGCGAGGTGTATGTCGTCACAGTAAATCTTCTGTTTCTTTTGCACTGGCTGAATAATACTACCTATGATGAGTAAATTAATCTTCATGAGTTAAAGAAATGTGCTCCTAGAGGGACAAATGCGCCGCTGAGTAACTATTGAACTAATAATTCAGTGAAAAGAGATCTTGAGCACCACGTTCCAGTTGGTCTATTTATTCAGAGGCAGCAGATATGTTCCTCTCACACTCCACACACACACACACACACACACACACACACACACACACACACACTAGACCCAGGAGCACAGTGAAGGGGAATAGCTCAGCCGAACAGAGAGCAGAACCCCTAAAGTGTACGGTCTAAAATTCCTTTTGTTGTCTTCGAGTGTATATATTTATAAATATTTTACACTTTTATTTCACACTGCCCTGGTTTTGGAGCAGAGTTTGGTTGAAATCTGCAAAATATCATACAGCAGCTGTTGTGTGATCCATGACAAACTGGACAAGCAAAAAGTAACAGCAGCCAGTTCTTTCCCGTCAAGATTTATGCAGATTTGTCCCCACGGACTGGAACGGAGAACACAACAAAAGTGTGGTTTGGGTGGGTAATTAGCACTCGGTCTAGTCGACAAAATGACATTGTTGTGATTTATTAGAAATGAAATAAAATAAGATTGCGTTTGTATGTAGATGTAGATATACAGTCGTCCTCAAATGTATTCATACAATACAAAAAAGAGCTGAAATAAGCTGAAATTGACAAAAGTAATAATAAATAAACATGACATTACTTTTGAATTGTGGTTCAAGAGAAATATTAAAAAACAACAAAAACAAGCATGATGGGACCCGTGAACTCATATTTAGCTGAACAACCCTTTGAGCCAATCACTACTTTCAGGTGTTTCCTGTAGCTCTCAGTCAGACTTCTGCACCTGTTGACAGGTGTTCTGGCCCACTGCTCATCAGCAAAGTGCTTGGTTTGTCTGGGACAGTTTTGTTTTTTGAAATTATTATTTTCAACCACAATTCAAAAGCAACGTCTTATTTCACTAAATTAGAATTTAACAAATTTTTATTTATTATTACTTTTTTTTTGTTATTTGAGTGACTATTGTGGATTTTGCCTTTTCTGTAATGGAAGGGTATGAATACATCTGAGGACACTGTAGAGATGCTCCAGACTCATTTCTGCAATGTTTCCTCCTGAGGAACAGGGCAAACATCCCAAACCTTCCACTGTGGTCAGAGACGCCGCTCAGAGTTCACCGACCCTCAGAGACACGATGTTGAATTTCAACGAACGCTTGCAAATGAACAGCAGGGCGCAGACTCTCCAACAGCAGGATGTTGACGAAGCTCTGCTGACATCATACTATTTATCTGTGATTCATCTGTGAAGCTCGATGGAAGTGATTTATCGAGCGTTCAACCTGTGTGGTCGTACCTCGCAGCAGCTGGCCTGCGTTGCGCCGCTCGGTAATAAAACGACCCAAGGATTTGAGAAAGACTTGTTTCACTGTTGTTGAGGCTCCACTGGCAGGTGCTTCGAACCGGGATGTGAATACATTCACAGTCTGAAGTTTTTCATCATCGCTCAAGGTCTCGCTGTTTTTCACAGCGTTGGTCAGAACAAGTCTGCAGAGGGAGACGTTGAAAGAAGAGCAAGAGAGTGCATGTTTGATTAGTCACTAACAAATCTACATAGTGTTTGATCGTCGGGTTTGTTGTGTTGATCCTGTTTTGACATTTGACAGCTTTGTGTTTTCCCAAATATCCCGTCACAAGAATGTAAAGGCATAATCCTCTAAAGCAGCTTTTGTTTTTTTGACTAGCAAACATATTTAATCTAGTGTTTTTACATTCAGTTTACATTTTTTTAATGTGTTTGTCTTCATTTAGACTGAATCCCTTCCATCTTAAAAATATGAACTTTCTTCGCAAAATATCTTGCAAGTGGGTTTGTAGCCTTTCCCACACTTCTGTTCTGTGAATTGAATCTGCCATCCTTGAGCTTGTGTACCATCAGTAGCTACCTGAATAGCGAGGCAATCTTCCTCCCTCTCCCTTGCTCTTCTCCATTGTTGCATCGCATTCAGAGGGAGGATGAGGAGCTGGGAGGTCACAGATGGAGAGAAGTGTTATGTTTGTTCCTGTCTCTGCTCTCTGAGTGAATGTCTCCACAGATGGCATTATATTGAAAGGCAAACACAAATTTGCAGAGCAATGAAAGCGCTTTAGAAGCACAAGGCCAGGCACACAGCTAAGTGTACTTGTTTTTTCATTTGGAGTTTTTCATCATCCATCATCGATGTGCCGATGTATTTTGTCGCCTACAAAATGAAGATGTGCATTACAGTATTCACGCCACATACTGAGCAATTAGTCATAAGCACACAAATGTAATTTAATGCTAATATCTCCAAACTGTATACTGAATATAGGCTGACCTTCTCATCCTGTATGTCATCTATGCGGTTCTTTCTGTGCTGAGATGCATTAATAATGAAAGTAATTTCATCAACACCCGTGCTTATGCATTTTTTATAATATGATGTTGTATCCTTAAAGATGGGACCATAGAAACGACGCGCTCCTCTAAAACTGTAAATATATCCCGATTCGCGCTGTACGTTCCTTCAATGCCCAACATTTTCAAATTAAGTTTCACATCCGGCGTGACTCCTCTCATCCTCTTATCTGTCCACAGCGAGGATGTAAATTTATGGCTAGAAGTTGCTTACATAACGACAAGTAGCATAGTGCCAGTGTGCATTAGAAAGAGTTGAAGTCTGGAGTTAAAAAATGGAAAAATACAGAATAATTCTTGATATACCAAAGTACTATAAAAGTACTGTTGTATTTAATTATTCCAGTAGTTCTAGTAGAATACAGGAAAGAAAACACTAATTATGATTCTCTCATTATTAATCTTATACTATAACTACCTCTCATTATAACTGGATTAAATTGTTTTTTTCTGCATTTTAATTTGCCGCTCACTATGCTGTGCTCCTTCTAGTTAGTTTATTTACGGACCAGGTGACAGAGTGAGATCCTGTAGTCGTGGTATGCTAATGGTTTCAGGTCTCCAAAAAAGTTGTGTGTTAAATATAGCCGAGTTTGGGAGCGTCTGCAGCAATCTGGCCGTGCTGTAAACAACCAGATGCAGCTGAAATCAGGAGGGCAGCGCCGGCGTGCATTCCATCATTACTGTTGCTCATCAAGGTTGTGTAACCGCACAATTGGCCGCCGTTGTGGATAAGCTCCCACAAACCTGTGTCTCCGCAGTTATCTGGGCCGTTCTAATGAATGCCAGAGCACAGCTAAATACTTCACAAGTGGATCAATCCAAGGTTCTCTCTGTGTCTACAAACGAGACAACAGAGGGAACCATTATGTCGGTCGGCCTAATTTAGCACACGCGGCACTCTTCAAAACACTGAGGCTAAAGGTCCCATCATTAATGGATTGTTGGCGTGCGGTCTGCTGCTTTACTGCACAACCTA